AGGGTTGGTTGAAAATATACATGTTGAAGAAGTACTACATCGCTTAGTTTTGTGAATGAAGATAGAGTTCAAGGCTATATATATAATACAAGTTATTTGAAGTCCCACATCGCTTAGTTTTGTGATAGAAGTGGGAATCCAATGCTATATATAGGATTCAAGTTTTTCATTCTAAGATGTATCAGTCAAAAGCACTTTAACCTTTTATTTGACTTTCTTTATTCTCTTATGCCCTTGTTTTATAGTGTTGTGAGATGTAGTTAAATATTAGTTTTAAAGGGTGTGGGTGTACTGGGGGCCTGGATTAGTTGATGGTATATTATATGTTGTAACAATTTTCATATAGTGTTATTCTATGGTTGTCTATTGAAAATAGTTGTAGTTTTTTCTTCGGTTTTGGAGTTTCCATGTTATGTTCTTGTGTGTGATTGTTTTCCTTTTTTTCTCTACGCTTTGTTTTTTTCCCAACAACTGGTATCAGAGTTTTTGGTTCGATCTAGAGATGAGTGTTCTTATTATGCGCTGTGGTTGCAGTTTTGTCTGATCTTCCATATCAGAAAAGAAGGGTAGTGTTGTGAAAGAGTTGTTGAGTTGCAGTCACAAATTTCGCTATGTAGTTTGGGCTAAAGAAAATTGATGGAAGAATATTTTTTAACTTGTGGAAAGTTCAAGTCAAAGATGTGTTGATACAGTCAAGATTACACAAGGTACAAGATTATGTCGATGGTTGAAGAGCTTCCTGCCAACAAGGAAGTTGCACCACAATGTTTCAACCTGATTTTTGACATGTGAAAATTCTCGAAGTGGTTTAACTTCAAGTGAAATTTATTCTTCATGATAAAATATATAATTGTCGGTGGTGACAATGTGAAATTATTGAAGTGGTTTATCTTTAAGTGAAATATATTTTTCATGAGAAAGTATGATAGTTTTTTAAAACTATAATTGTCAGTGAAGACAATGTGAAATTTTTTTGGAGTGGTGTAGCTTCAAGTGACTATACTATTTATGATGGAGTATGATTGTCAGTGAAGACAATGAAAGCTTAGTTTTGTGAATGGACTATTTATGAATGGACTATTTATGTTGGGGTTGGTTGAAAATATACATGTTGAAAAAGTCTCACATCGCTTAGTTTTGTGAATGAAGAGAGAGTTCAAGGCTATATATATGATACAACTTATTTGAATTCCCATATCGCTTAGTGTCGCCGCTCGAAAAAACTGCATCGCGCAACGACGGGGAGGCGAAAAAGATAGACAGAAGAGTCGCCACCGAACTTTATTTATCCCATGAGGGGGAAAGGAAAATATCAAGAAAACCTTAAGAAAGAAAAGGATAAGATGGTCTCGCAACCAAGAACGGGTTCGGAAGCCGGTTATGCGAGGGGAAGGTATTAGCACCCCTCGCATCCATCGTACTCGATGGGAACCTTTTGTTTGTCGATGTGTGAATTTATTTGCTTAAATATTATGCTAAAAAGTTGTTCCAAAAGATAGAGAGAAGGGTTAGAAACAGGGAAAGAGAGGTAACGGGGAAGAAGAGAGAAAGAACAGACTCGGTAGGACTTCGCAGTCCTAGGCCTACGTATTCTCAATAGACATGAGAAAGTCAGAGTCTACGTAGTTCGGGGAACTACAGATATGGGGGGAATGTGTGCTCGGCAAGGATTGTGGCCCTTGTGCCTACGTATCTTTACTCAAAGGAAGTAAAGAATCAGAGCAGCCGTAGTTCGGCCTACGGTTTGTTGATGTTTTTTATGGATGATGCTATCGTGCGCATTCTAGCAGTTAGGTGTTTCGCTGCTCGCTCGTTGGAGACTTAGGCATTACCTGTTTGCGGTAGAACGGACGTAACATATCCTTTTTGAAAGATTGATTAGTTTTCGCCACGCGGGGCAAGAAGTCACGTTTGATTGATTGGTTTGTTTTTTTAGGGGGCGAGACAGGTCCTCGGATAGTAACCCCTACGGGTAGTACCCAATTCGTTATCTCAAAGTTTTTGTTATAAAAAAGGTGTGGCGAACGAGGCGTCTTCATATTGAAAGACGAGCGTCGAGACCACCCTCACTACAGTGGGCATCCCTACGCTCGGAGAAGAAAAGGTCTACACCTTATCCTCTCTCTTTAATTCAATGCAAAGAGAACTTCGTTCTCTTATTAAAGATGTTTTTGGTTTTGAATGGTAAGTGCCTTGCGACAGAGAACCCTACGGTAAACGTCAGCACTCGGGATAGGAGAAGGCCTACGCCTAACCAACCCACGACCATTCAAGCTTTTGTATGAAAAGGAATTCGAAAATGCACTCGGTACGTGACCGAGTTTTTAGGTGTGAAAATTGTGGAAGGAAGTTGTGAAAGCGAGATGGTGGATAAAGTTGCGTCCTCGTATCGAAAGACGAGTATCGAGACCACCCTCACTACAGTGGGCATCCCATCACTCGGAGAAGAAGAGGTCTACACCCAATCTTCTCTCTTTAATTCGATACAAAGAGAAATTAATTTATTATTGAAAGCATACTCAGTCCGAGATCGAGATTTTATGAGGAAATGTTGGAAGTGTCTTTGTATTGACAGACGAGCATCGAGACCACCCTCACTACAGTGGGCATCTCTATGCTCGAAGAAGAAGAGGTCTACACCCAACCCTCTCTTTAGCTCAACACAAAGAAATGATTTTAAGGAGATGAGACTTGAAAATGGACTCGGCACGAGACCGAGGTTCTGAAAATGTACTCGACACGGAGCCGAGGTTTTTTTAGGAGAGAAAAGTTTAGAAGCGTCTTCGTATTGAAAGACGAGTGTCTAAACCACCCACACTACAGTGAGCATCTCGACACTCGGAGAGGAAGAAAGTCTACACTTAATCCCCTCGTTTAATTCAATACAAAGAATATGATTTAAAAGATGGTTTGACAATATTTTTGAATCGAGTCGGGACAGGTAATGAAGGGAGAAAAGAGGTGGTCTCAGATCCAACATTACTTATCAATAATTTGACTGGTAATGAATTACGGAGGTCTCGTCATCGACCAAAACAGAAAATGGGACAAAAATCCCAATAACAAATGGGAAAACAATTCACCTTCTAAAAGGAAATGAGATCCCAAAATTAAAATATGAATTTGAAATTCTAAAAATATAAAGTTTTGAATAATAAGTATAAACTCTAAAAAATATAATATAATATAAACAAAGTCTAATTAAATTATATAAAAATAATGTACAATATAAATCCTAAAAGAGATTATATAAAAACTAAAATGTAATATATTTTAAAATATGTAAAAGAAAATTAATATATAAACTAATTTAAACAATATACAATATATATACGTCCAAACCTAAAAAACCTTTTTTAAAACATACTAAAAATTACTAAAATATAACTAACATATTTATATACTAATAATGTACTAACAATTTTTTTACAAAATCAAAACCCTCGTTACCAATACCTAACAGGAACAGTATCACAAACTATACACTACTTTAATTAATTTACAATTTCTAAAACCAAGGAGAAATAATAACAATACAGTAAAATCAAGTCTCAGTACTGATAAACCAAAATGATAAGCATGATGAAGACAAACTGGAAAAAAAAGTGAGTCAAAAAGAAGATACCATCACCGTGCAGCTACTGCGGTTGTTATGGAGCTGATACTGTTGTCGTTAGAGCGCAATCACATCCTGGGAACCACTCGAGTACGCGACCACACAGCTTTGGATAACCTCTGTCTCCACACGAGCCTCTTCTGATCTCTCCCGATTCAACACACAAAGCCTCACCTCTCCGTTCAAACCGGTCACTTTCAAATCATCACACCCCAAACGCAATCCCCTGTTTCTCAGTCGAGTTTAGTGGCTCCTCATGATCTCGAAACTTTTTCCGTCTCATTCACGGTGTGTTATTTTCATCGGCGGTTGTCTCAATTGATGTCGTTTCTCAGTGGTTTTGAATATTGTGAAAAGTTGGTGAAAATCTGATGGTTGTTGTTCCGATGGAGGTGATGGTTAGTGGAGATTAATGAAAGGAAGTGCTGAACAGAGACATAAAAACCGCCCACCACATGTTCGACGAAAGTAATGTTGTGGCTTTGAGGGGTTTAATGGAGTTTTCTGGGTCGAAAATGGAAGTGAGGTAGCAGATGGTTAGTTGAATGTTTGTCCTGTTTTGGTTGATGGAGTTTGAGGGGGTTTTCTGAAATGGTGATGGGTTTTTTAGATCTATTGTAGTTGTTGGGGTTCATGTATGGTTGTTAGAAGATGGAAGGTGGAGTTTTGAAGGGTTGAGGATGAAGAACAGAGAGGGCAGATGTTTGGAGATTTGAAGGTGGAGGTTATTGTTGTGCTATGTGATTCTCCGGTTTTTTTTTCTCAAAGCTCCCAGATGAGTGTTTTTCTCCCCCCTTTTTTATGCTATGTCCAATGGTTGTGTATTGTCTTGGTTTATTTCATGTCTGTTGCTTTCATGTGCAGGAATTGTCTGGCATGTTGTTTTCCTGCGGTTTGTACCAGCCATAGCAGGTACTGCCAGCTAGTGTGTCTTGATGCAACCGGTACGGTTTGTGCAGAATATTGTCTGTTGGTCTGGTGTGGGGCTGTTTTGCAGCAGGGTATTGTCTGTGGGCTGTGCTGTTTTTTGTTGGCTATTGTGTGTAGCAGGCTGGTGTGTAGTGACCTTTGATTTTTACCTTTTTGTTTTTACTCCTTCTCACTGTCTTGATTTCGTCTACTGCAGAGTGTACCAAATTGTCGGAGTAGCGCCCTCGGTTACAGCAATTGGAGTGTTAGCTGTGTTCTGTGGATGTTTTTTCGTATTGGTAAGCATCGCCATAACTCAAAGGATAAACAGCACTTCCATTAGTAAATACAATGCCCCAATTTTTTTCTGATATAGGTCCGTTTCTCTTGTCTTCATTAAACAATTCATATATGTATGTATTAATTGGTATATTCGGCTGACTAGGTGGACCGGAATCATTCAGGACCCGCTGGATCATATTATTACTGTAGGTCTCAGCATTTTCTGCAGTAGCATCGGGTTCATTTGCTCCACCAAAAGATGGCCAGCCTGTTCCGTGACAACAACGGGTATATCTTTGAAATTTAACGCTTCTATAGAGTAATAGGCAGCATCCACCATAGCATCAAACATACTGTTATAGTGATATAGTGTGTTTGGATCAACAATTTGCTTCACCGAGGGAAGGGGTCGGAAAAGAGCGTATTCAATAGGGAAAATGCCGTCTCCTTTAGTGTATCCATAATAAGGATACGCATTTAACATGAAAGAGGAATTTGTGTTTCTCAAAAACTGGAGGAGTTGATACATTGTAGAGTTCCACGAAGAGTTAAAGGTGGCAGTAGAAGGAGGAAAAGGCTTAGGGATAATATCCATAGATTGTGGAGTCGAAACCTTGACTCGAAAATTAAGGTTTGCCGCAACCAGAGCTTTGTGCAGAGAATTCAAGGCAGGAACAAGAACAGGAGCAACATTTGGGATTGTGGAAAGAACCTCACTCCCAACAGCTATTGCCGTGACATTGGTGGAAGGTACATAAGCAACTACATTTTTATTTATCCACGCAGCAGCTGCTGAAGGAGATTCTCCAATTCTGAGTACCTCTTCGTTTGTGACACCAACAATAACATCAATGCTGGTGTTTGAAAGGGCTTGCAGTAAGTGCGCATTGGCATCGTAAAGACGTACAGGAGTAATTTGATGAGCTTTAAGGATAGCAACTATATTTGAAGCAGATGGCATATCAGAGACATCGGTGCCAATGTTCACCCCCACAAATGCACCTAATGTAGTGGTTAGCATAACATTAGTTAGCAACAAAACACTTGCAAACCAATTTTTAAGCTTCATCACATCCAATATCACCTGAACCAGCAAGTTCAGTCCAACACTTCTTCAGCCTGATCTGGAAACCCTATGAGAGTTGAGTTGGTGGTAAGCAGAACTACTTCAGGTTGTTTTTTTTTTTTGTGGGTTTGGGAGGGGCACAACAGAAGACTAGGAAGTAAGTGTTGTTGAATAGAGAGATTTAGATAGCAATGTGAATGAAAGTGTTGTTGATGTGTGGTTTGGAGAGTTGAATGAGAGAAAGTTGGGACCTTACAGTGAAGGAGAGTGAAGAGACAGACAATATTGCTTGCTTTCTCATGTGATTGTCAGTATGTTTATCCTCAATATTCTCATTTTTTTCCTGCAGACTAAAGATGTCAAAGAAGCAAATGGAGGACTAGTCTTATCATAGACTAGTGTGCCGTTGATAATACATGAAGTACAACTGTATGCCCATGCTCTGGAAGATGAAGGACAAATGTTGCCAAAACATCATCAAAGAGGAGAATTTCCTTCGACGGGTAACGGTTGCGGATCAACTCAACAATATTGTCGGCAAATTACTCTGATGTAAACTGAATCAAGTATTCAACATATGCAGCAATTTGATCCTTCTTTTGCTGACCATCTTGTGGAGGAGGCCCAAAACAGTGAGGAAAATTGAAGACGATCAATCCACCTTTCACTTGTAGCAGCCATAGTTGAAGCCATCAAAAGCTTCCAAATCTCAAACTATTCCCTTCTTCTTTTGCTTCTGTGTTTAGAGCTTAATTTCTTTTTATTTGTTGACAGAGCCAACATCAGAATTTGAACTTGCGGCAAATTCTGTGCCAGACTGTGAAAGTTTGTTTGGTGCTGAGAAATCGCCCACCGGATCCTCTAACCCTTTTCAAAGCATGCCGGTGCCAATATTCATGAAGATATGGTTTGCGAGATTTGATGAATTTGTTCTGAGCCTTAAGCTTTGCTTGTGACCGTCGTCTCCTCAGGATACCGTGGTATGTAGAAACGTATCTTTTCCTTCCTTCTTCCCTTTTGAATGCTTCAAGTGAATTTATCACGAGTGTCTTTGTGCAGATTTGAATTTGATTTATGTGACTGTATTGTGATAACGTGCCGCCGCGGAAAGGCTCTTGCTGAAGGCTTGTAGCAGCTGTGTATATAAGCCGATACGGATGCCGTCAATGGACTCTCTTTGCGCCAAACTCGAAAGTCAACCTTATAATGACAAAACTTGTAACCCGAGTGACAGTATTATGTAATCACCTTGTAAAAATTGTTGTGTATATGTCAGGCCTCAAGTTTGAAACCTTTTAAAACAAAGCTCCAACGACAAAGCTGTTGGACTGCAGACCTTTGGCAATTGCAATAGAATGTATCTCTCTCCCTTGTCGAACAGAAACTGTATCAGCACATCCAGTAAAGATACTTTCAAGAGTGAAGGAATCCGGTTCAATTCTTTCCATCAATGAATCTCGAAACAACATCAGAGCTTCATCAAGCATGAGATTATCCACATAACCTGATATCATACAATTCCACGATATTCTACCCCTCTCCATGCCTTCTCGCTCCATCCGATCAAATAATTACTTTGCCTTTATGATATTACCATTTTCTGAATAACTAACTATCATTGTATTGTAAGATGCTGCACCTTTCCTTGCAAACTTGGAAAACATTTCAAAAGCACTTTTCATACCACCACACCTTCTATACATGTCCACTAATGTATTTTGAACAAAAACATTGCATCCGAAACCACTTCTTATAATGCAATCATGCACCTGTTCACCAAAACAATGAGCTAAGACAGAAGAAAAAACTGTCAATACAGTTGGAAAAGTGTACTGATTTGATTCCACCCCTTGAAAAGAAATTCAGCTTCTGAAATACACTTGCATTTGATGATTTGAACACAAACTCTTGATGAGGTCTATAATCCTTGACAAATTCTTTGTTTAGACACAAATTTCTTGATCCTCTGTAAAATGTAAAAAATGCTATGCAATGCAATGTTTTATGTAATATGCTGATGCAATGAAATGAAACACAAGCCAAAGAGGTTGGTCAAATTTTGGGGTACAACAGCTGCCCCTATTCCAGCGACTTGGACCTGAAGGTATGAAAAGCGAACAACTTTCATACATTCAGGTAAAAGACGGTTGAATACCCAAGAACCCGGAAATTTGACAACCGTGAAACGAACTTCTGACATCGCCGCCAGGCACCCATATTAAGTAGAATGTCTGACCTCGCCGTCAGCTCTTAATAGCATCTAATCTTGCCGTCAGAACTCATCGTCTAAACGGTAAGCCACCTGACTTCGCCGTTAATCTTCAATATTCCCTGACTTCGCCGTCAAGAACTTTTTCAAAATGGTCTTCTGACTTCGCCGTCAATTCTTACAATTTTCTGACATCGCCGTCAGTCCTCCGTTAAATACGAACAGGTGTTGAATCCAAAGATACAATCTTTTGACATCACCGTCAAAACAAACATTCAGCATCGCTGCTGCAAAACTGAATCATCTGACATCGCCGCCAAAACAAACTTTCAACATCGCCGCTGAAACTAAATTATCTAACATCGCCGTTAGAAACAAACTCCTCAACATCTCCGTTGAAGAACACCAATACTTGACATCGCCGCCAAAACAAACTTTCAACATCGCCGTCGAAGAAATAAATCACCTGACATCGCCGCCAAGACAAACATCCAACATCGCCGCTGAAAAACTAAATCATTTGACATCGCCGCCAAAACAAACTTTCAACATCGCCGCTGAAACTAAATTATCTAACATCGCCGTTAGAAACAAACTCCTCAACATCTCCGTTGAAGAATCAAATTACTCTGACATCGCCGCCAGAAACAAACATTCAACCTCGCCGCTGAATAAACAAATTATTCCGACATCGCCGTCAAAACAGACTTCTCAACATCGCCGTTGAAGAATCAAATCATCTAACATCGCCGTCAGAAACAAACATCCAACCTCGCCGCTGAATAAACAAATCACTCTGACATCGCCGCCAGAAACAAACATCCAACCTCGCCGCTGAATAAACAAATCATCTGATATCGCCGCCAAGGCTAAATCATCTGACATCGCCGTCAGAACTAACTTCTCAACATCGCCGTTGAAGAATCAAATTACTTGACATCGCCGTCAAAACAAACTCCTCAACATCGCCGTTGAAGAATATAAATACTTGACATCGCCGTCAAAACAGACCTCTCAACATCGCCGTTGAAACACTAAATCATCTAACATCGCCGTCAGAACCAACTTCTCAACATCGCCGTTGAAGAATATAAATACTTGACATCGCCGTCAAAACAAACCTCTCAACATCGCCGTTGAAGAATACTAAATCACTTGACATTGCCGCCAAGCCTTCGCTAAATATAAGCGAGCAACAAGATTCAAACGAAATTAAGACCATCCATTGGTGATAGTCGCAAAATAACTCCGCTGGGGAAACACCATGAGCTGGGGTCTAGCCAACACACGGGCAAAGATACTAATCATCTGCGAGATTCATTTGAAACAAAAAGGGTAACGACCTGGCTTATGTCTCGCATGCATATGTTTGGATATGACGAAATGCCCCATATGAAATGGGAATGCTTCGCGTTCGGGTAGATGCTATGCATGTATGTAGATGCAAATGAACCAACTTTAGCAAAATAAATGCTAAAGAGAAAGAGCCAGCTCCGTTGAGTCAGAGCTAGATACGCCTAGCGCAAATAAACTCATGCAGGGGAACGCAAGCCGTGGATGGCCTCCGAGAAAACTTCTGGGTAAAAACCGCTCCGTTAAGAACAAAACCACTCTGCTGGGGATCTAAATCGAACTCTGCTGCGGAAAACGTCCCGGATGGCCTATCAGCCTACCACTCTTCTGGGGAACAAACAACTTGACTGGAGACAACAACTCCACTCTACCGGGGAAATCAGTTATGAATGATTAGCCAGAATAACTCTACTGGGGAAACACAGCAGATTGCTGAGGAATAGCTCCATTCTGTCGGAGATTGAATCCGCTATCTGCTAGGGGTTTTGAATAAGACTTACTGGGAGCTTATCCCAAACTATCTCTGCTGGGGATGGAGATAAACAATCTCTGAGTCAGTTCCACTCTGTGGGGAAGGAAATTAACTCCGCTGGCTTGGCTGGGGATTAGATAAGGAGGGAATCAACATCAATTTCTGCTTGGGGATAATGAGAAGTAAACTTCAACAATACTTCCGTTTGAGGAATGAGTCAATGACTTAGACTCTGAGGGGAAAGAAGTCAATTGTTCAGACTCTGTAGGGATAACAGTACTGCCCTCTCCCTACTGTTGGGGAAATAAACCCAAATCTGCTTCTATAACTCTGATAAGTTCTGAAGATATGGAGAGGAACACATCTCCTTTGTTTACGATTTTGCCCCAGCCTGTGGGACTTTTGTAAAAACCTTCCTCGAAAGGAAACCTGAAATTTCGGTACCCTGATGGTTAGATATGAACTGCTCCAGCGCTTCGAACTCCGAAGAAGCGCTTCAAGTTAATTTCCTTTCTGGACAAGGATAGTCTTTGTGCTCTCCGGGTGGCCTGCCCCAGCTTTGAAGTGATTTGCCCCTGATTGGCTGATTTGTAGAGAAGTGCCCCTGGCTTCGAGAGATTTACCTAATCTCGACCTGATTGTCCCAGGTTAATGGACCTTAGGGAATGGCGTCTTCAACTGGCCTTCGAGTGGTTTGACGAGTCTCGACCTGATTGCCCCAGATTAACGGCATCTAGGAATGCCTGACTCGGCTTACGTTTACCTGGCGTGACTTGCCCCTGCTCAAAGGAGTACTCAGACGTTCTATATCTTATTCCTATTAAACTTTGCATTGTAGAAACTTTCCTGATGTCAAATGCTTTCTCGCAAGTAAAACAAATTGTTTTGCAAAAGATAATATTAATGCAATGCATATGACAGTTTTGAAATCCACGTCTGGTCACTGGAAAAAAGTGTGGCATTTAGTGA